CTCTAACACTCATTTTTGCCACTGTTGTGTTGATTTTTTTCCCCCCCGCTTCCAGTTAAGGACAGGTGTCTCTGAAAAGAGTAAAACTTCCTCCTACTGCTGGAGACAGGATTCTTGGCTAGTTGAATTCTTCTTTTGTCCTAGTATGACTGTTCTTTCATCATTCAGTTTTGATGCTGTTTGTTGAAGTGTATTGAGTATTGAAACTGCAGGAATGGTAACACTGTTCAGGGCAAGGTACTACATTATCTAGGAGATAGCTGTAGTGGAAGGATTGGGTACTTTTTGGTATCCTAATTTGGTGACCAGAAGGTAAGTGAATCCTGTATTTTGCTACTATGTTAGTGATAAGATTCTAGCTTATGTCCTAAGCAAAGGTTTGGGGTTTTTTTATGTGGTGTCTGTGTTCTTTCTAGGTATGACTGCCTTTGAAGCTATGTCAGTCTTTGGAAATTGCACCACTAAGACTATAGAAGCTGACTTGTGTCTGCAATTAGGCTGCAAGTTCATGTCTGTTAAACTGTGCTTTGAAAAAGAGGAGAAATACCACTTTGTGGTCCCTGTTTGTCTTACTGTATAAAACTAAAGCCACAGAAATACTGTCTGTCTGCAATTGTTAACAATGTATTAGGAAAAATGGGGGATGGTGGTGGCAAGTGGCTTTATTGTTACTTTAAAGATGAAAGCTTCTGTATTCTAGCAAAGATCAACCTTTTATGTTGACCCTGACTGCACTTGTATTCCTGAAATTGAGCATCTTTGTGACATGGCTTGGTATGTGCATTTGCATTGGCAGCTTTGGCTGGAATGCTTTGGAGTGGTGCTCTGACCCTTAGCTTTCTATTGGTGACTTTTTGTTATTTGAGACTGACCAGTTCTGCCATTCTGAGGAATTCTAGTAGTCTATCAGTCATCATTTCCAGCTTGTCCAACAGTAATATGTGTAAATTAGTAAGGGTCATTATTAGTCTTCTTGGTTAACAATATTGGTATTCTCCTTTGGTTTCTTTTGCATGCTTTTTGGTAATCTTATTGTCTTGTTCTTAATTAAATAGCATTTAAATAAGATCACTTGTTAAAAATGGAATTTAAATAGCATATCCCTTCCTGTTCTGAAATTGAGTTTCATGAGAAGATGATGTCCTTCACTGTGCTTACTTTCTGTTTCCTTCCACATCTGGCTGAGGAATCCTATTATCTTAACTTGCCAGGAGTAAAGCTTTTCTCCCAACATAGCAAACTTACAAGCAGAATGTTTAACTATTACAGTGTTTAAAGGGTTGCTTTTTAAAGAGTTGCTTTTTTATCCTGCAGCTAGTATTGATGTGTGGCCAGGTCAAATTGACAGTGCTTCTCACAGGTTTGTGACTGTCTGCGGAGTACTAGTGGATAATGAGATTGCCATGTCCATGTAGTTTGTCACTTCCCTCCTCTTTTGAGAGCAGTGGATGTGGTTGTTGGTTGGCTGACATGGAGAGAAGACCCCCTGGGACAGCAGTCAGGAGGTTCCTGTTTAAGAAAATTACCTCTATTTTTTAGCTTTGTCATATCAGTAGATGAGAATTTGTTCTCTGAAGCTCATAAAAACAGGAGCTTGATAGACTATCTTCAAGGCCATTAATTGTGGCTGTATGGTAGAGGTCTCGAACCCTTTTTGAGGAGGAGCTTAGGGCACATAAGAAGTTCTTATATTAGTTATTAAATTAATACTTAGTTTGGTAAAACAAGAACTTGTTACTCTTAAAACTATGCCTTACACCTTTTAGGAACTGTCAAGAAACCTTTTCAAGCAATATTGTATTGTATTGAAATACCTCAGACGTGGTGGAGTACATGAAAATTTTACATTGGTGGCTGGAGCCAGTGGGAGGATTTGGTAAGAGCTTAGATCCTGGACAAAAGAGAGAAGGGTAGATTCAGAACAGACGAGTTACTGAAGTAGTTAAGGAGTGGCCATATTAACTCAAGTTGATCAAGGTTGTGTGGTAAATAGATGGAGATTGATTGACAGTTGTTTGCATGGCCAGTTTATAAGTTGCAGTTGCATTTAGCATACCAGCCTCTTAAGGCATCAGGCATCCTAAACTGTATTAACATATATATAAAATATCCCACTTATTGGCTAACTTGCCATAAAATCATTAACTTCATGGGGATTTAATGAAAATCCTATAGTGTCAGTTGAAATAATGAATTACAAGGATTACAGTTTTTGTGTTAGATAAGTATGGAGGAGAGTCCTTTTTTTTCCTCTTATTTGTCACTTGAAGCACCGTGTACTTGTGAAGCAGAGACAAACATTGACATCGCCTCTGGATTGCTTTATCTGATGCCTCGTCTGGATTGCTGGAGTCAATGCTTTAATTTATCCAAATATGAAGTTGCTCACATGTGAAAAACTTTACTCTGGGATCGTGATGCTGTGAAAGCCCAACACCACTGCCTTGACTTAATTGCTGTACTGTCCTAGTGTATGTAGAATTGCAGCAGACAGTTCTCAGTTTGCACCTTTGCAGGCATGGAAGTACTGCATTAGTGTTTGTGCCATGGCTTTCATCAGTTCTAAAATATGTTTGTCTGGTATTGTGAATCCTACACATTGTAACATCTCATGCCGCCCCTCCTTCCCTGCCCCTCTGTTTTAAAACCATGTAATGAAGATTTCATGTATGCTCACTAAGATTGACCTTGGGAAAAGACTATAATTACATAATTGTCCTGTCTGAATAACTAATGATCAATCTGGGAGGTTGGCAATCATCTAGAACCTTGGCTGTGTTTCTCTAATCCTATTTTAGCCTATTTAGATTAAAAGGTTAGAGTACTGGGTATGTTCTGAGTTAATGAATGAAATACAGAGAAACTTTTGAAATTGGTAACTTGATAATCCAGTAGTCAATGTCTTGAGAAATTGTGCCTACAGAGTGAGATTATGAAATTGTATAGGGCTTGGTTTACAAGACTGCCTGAACATCATCTTCCATCAGTTTTAGTCTGATATCTGAATCAAGTGTTTGGATGTCTGTGAAAATTAGTCCCTGTGTTTGCGTGGTTTGAGGCGTTTGGGTTTTTTTTTTTTTTTTTTTTTTCTCCTTTGCTATGTCAGAGGAAGCTGAAATGCTTATTGCTGTTGGGTAGTTAGCATGCTTAACTTTCTTCTGAGCTTAGGCAAATGGACAAACTAGTTTACAGAGTTTCAGAGAATCAAGCTTTCTTCTCTACTTGGAAAGCATTTTCATTGCCACACTATACTTAATTTGTTGGTTGTAATTGCAGAAATACGTTCCTTACCATTGCTACATCTAGGAGCAATGAAATGGTAATCATGCCCACTTCAGACTTGCCTTTCACACCGAAGGTGAGGTGGGTCAGCATCTGGCTGCTGCCAACAGTGCTGTAGAAGTTTGTGCAGGTAATAAAAACTACATTGTTTCATAAATAATTCTCTTTTAAGTGCCCCACCCCACCCCCAGTTACTTATCTAGATGTGATTACTCTTGGGAAAGATTAGGGGACCCCTGTTGTATACGCTGGTCCTTAGCTTTTTCTGTATTCTCTCATTTGTCCTAAATGAGAAGTCTTGCCATGAATTTGATCTAGTGTGTCCACCTTTTTTTATTATTTTCCCTGTTGATAATTAAATCAACTGATCAGCTTAATAATCATGATTATGGTTCAGAAGTAAAGATACCGTCAATCAGATGACTGCTGGGAAGGCAACTCTTAATGTTTTCTGAATATCTTTATACATGGGAGTGCCTTTTAAGAAGTCAAATGGGTTAGCACTGTCAGAGGCTGTTGCTGAGATACCTTCAGAGGGGAGCAGAAATGTAAACAGCTGCAATAGCTGGGGTGGGGGAGGTGGGTGTAATTACATCATATAAGCGGAATTATGTATTTTGGACACTACTTAAGCCAGTAATTGTCTTCTACTATGCCTTGATACAGAAAGTTAAACTGCAGGATTTCAAACTGCACAAAAGTCTTCCCAGATGGTTTTCTTCCAGATCCTTCATGCAAATGCATGAGACCTAAGAGTGGTGGAAGTACTCTCTTTCTTTTGGAAGAGCTTTACTTTTTGTAGAGCTGTATGTGGAGCAATGTTCCCCTTCAAGTGCTACCTGTTCTTGGTGTACTTGTCATCGTATTGGTGGTGAATTTGCAACATAGACCTTCAATTTTCTGTCAGGCTTCCCAGAGTACTTTTTGTTTGTTTGTTTTTGTGCTTGGTGAGTTATGGTCAGTAGAAGCTTCGTTTTCTGTTTGAATAGCATGTAGAATGGCTAATTTCTGTATAAGTGCAAATTGTGGGTGAAACAAGTTTGTGGCTTAGAAAGGTGGTGATTGCTTTCAGCCTTGGTATCTCTTCAGTCACCAGCTGCCTGGTCTTAAGTGGAAGCGTAGCACAAATTACTTGTCTCATTTCAGCTTCTCTTCTTTGAAGAATACATTTTTGTAGCCAAGAGGAATATAATAGATAAACTTAAAATTTCAGGAGCTGCAGAAACTTATTTGGAAAGGAAAAAATGGTCATTTAGCTGTACTGCACTTTTCACCTGACCTCTGTGTGTCATCTTACTCTTGTAAAAACAGAAAATGCTGATGATTTGTACAGCTTTGTGTTGTATGGATTATTGCTTAGTAAAAAAGTAGTTTTACTTTTGTAAATTAAAGACTAAAAAAATTTAAAACCTTCAAGTTATTTCAGTGTCAGTGAGTCATTAAGGCAAGAGTTTGGCAATGGCAAGCCTGGTTTTGCTTGCATGGACTTAGCTGTGAAATTTGCAGATATACAAGATTCTGGTTTAACCTAAGTGTTAATATAGTGCATTATCAAATGCAGAGTTAAAGCAAAGGTTAATGGCTAATTGTTTTTTGTTTTTGTTGACACTATTTTATCTAAAGACAACAGTCTTGTCATAAAGCTACAGTGTTGCTGTACTTTCTTAAAAGTATTTCCAGACTCCAGAATGAATTATTTTTTTCTCTTTTTTTGACAGTCAAGAATCCCCTCAGTGAAGAACTACAAAAAATAGAAGTAAGTAAAACCACTTAATATTGAGATTTTAGTCTGCCAGATGATTGTGTAAAAACCAATACAGTTCTGTTCAGAAGGATGCAGCTTCAGAATGTTTTGCATGAGATGAACATACTTCTTGCATCTCTGAGGTTTTAATGTTCACTTTTCACCTCTGGCAGTATATCTGGGATTACAAGATCTGGCTGTGCAATGCTGGTGTCTCTGTATACTGTGAAAATGTTACATAATTTGTGTTGTAGAACTGACGAAAAATTGTTGCATTGTAAGTTTTGAGACTCAATTTATCAGTTTGTCTCTTACTGTTACCATTTGGCTTCTCAACCTTGAAATGACAGCTGGTACAACCTGATTGACTTGAAACTCCAGGCTCTTTAGTGCCATAGAAGAGCAAGGGTTAGCCTCTTTCAGAAAATGGATTTTAGAAGTCTTTTTCACTTTGATTGTATTCTGTTACTTTTTCCTTTGTTCACTAACCATTTTTGAGATGTCACCATTAAAGGTATCTGTATTCTTAGTCCTGCCACCTTTTGGTGGTTCTCTCTCCTGGCCTTGAGTCTTTCTGCCTGGACTGTAAACATACCTGCTCTTTTTGGGCCCTATATAAGCAAATACTGCAAGATACTTATGTGGAGGTTTTCTGTGTGTTTGAGGGGGTTCTTTTGTGGTTTTGGTTTGGTTTTTTTTTGTTGATAGGTAGCCTTAGTTAGTTTCTAGGGTAGAAAAAGTTTTTGAATCTTTTGAACAAATTGACTTTTGTGAGGTGAATGCTAAGGATCCTTTCAGAATGACTTTGGTAGTACAGAGAATACATCTTGTGCACTGGACTTGACACCTTGAGAAACTGTTTTGTATGTTACTTTGTTCTGTGGTTTTTGTGTGCTGTTCCACAGTAATCCTACTCTGTTCTTGATTTTTTTTTAGCTTCAAAGGTTATACTGCTCAGTCCCTTCCTTTGTGGTCTAACCATTAATTTACAAAAAAGTTGGTGACTAAAATGTTTCACGTCTGTCTCAGTGAAGCTATTAGTGAAGTCGTGGGTGTATCTACTGTCAAAAAAATAGAACCTGGAGTACTGCTGGTGGTGTGTGTGAGTGGCAGGGGACTGGTTTTGCCTTTTTTTCCCCCTCCCCCCTCTCCTGCCATGTCCAGTATATTCTACACAGGAAATGAGTTAATACATTTGGTTAGTTTCCTGTGGAATACCAACCAGATCAGTTTAATATCAGTGATAGTTTTGTAGGACCAGAATAGGGAGAGGTGATGCTGGTAATTGTTGATATCATCTGCAGGAATTAATTTTTCAAATGTTTGATTAATGAAAGAAGTATTTTGCTTTTTAGTAGCAGTCCTCTTATAGAAAAAAAATTGAGGCAATCAAATTTTAGCATTGTCAGAGTGCTGCTGCATCAGGGAATTAAAATTGCAATATACTTAGGATTTTTCAGTGTGAGTATAATCAGCAGATACACAAACTGGAAAGTAATTTTCCTTGCATATTTTCTGAATAGTTTCTAGTCGTCAGCCATTTCAGTCTGCCCTGGGAGTCAGAGCCATCTTCAAAAAAACCCCAACATTTTAGAATGGCCTGTAGTACTTAGCGTATGTAACTGCATGTTCCTTGTCTTCATATTTTGAATTATTTCCTTCTAATACAAAAGGTTTCTGGATGTATTTCAATACAATTGCTCAATATATTGATAAGCTTAACTCCCCTCTAAGTAACGATCGTACGATATCTCATATTCAAGCTTGCTTTGTGGAGTTAGGCTTTTTTATACTAGTGACAAATGCAGGAAGTATCATCAAGATTGTACAGTCCACAGCTTGCTGGAGTGTTTTGTTGTTGTGTGTGAGTTTTTGTTTTTGTATGTGTTTTTTTAATTACTGTTGTTTGAAGGTAGACAGTAAAAATCTTACTTTGCTATAAATTTTGTGGGAATACAACTGCATGGTACTTTTAGTGTGGCTTCTATGAAGTGTCACTGCACATTTATTAAGAATAAAACTATTTTATTTTAACATAGTAGCTATCAAAAAAAAACCAAACCAAACCAAAACAAAAAAAACCCCAAACAAACAAACAAAAAAAAAAAAAAAACAAAAAAAAAAAAAAAAAAAAACAAAACAAAACAAAACAACAAAAAAAACCAAAATCACCAAACTACTTTTGTGTCATTGCACTGTACTCTCAGTAGTATTAAAATAACCTTTTGAGCTGTCAGTTTCTTCTGACAGACTCATAAGTCCAGGCTGTAATTTAAGTTAGTTTTAGTCAAGATTTGAAAAAAAAAATCAATTTTGTGAATACTTTGGTTCAAAATCTATTACTTGCATCATTGTTGATGTTTGAAACACCACAGCTTTTCATGGGTAAGTGTAAAACCATTTTTTTTTTTTTTTTCCTAAGGATAAGTAAAGGTTTTGGGGATAAATGGAGGAAAATATTTTTCTACTGATGTTTAACAAATGTGTTTTTTCTGATTCTAGGAAGATGAAATAAGTCTCATGATGAATAGCTTGTATGCACTTCACGATAAATTGGCACAAGTAGCAGGTAACACTTGAAAAATACTGTGACTAAAAGTGCTCTGGCAACAACTACAAAGAAATCTATGCTCAGATAATGGTTTGCAACAACTGATACATGCTGGGGCCCTAACAGCCATTTTAGAGTTCCTTTTTAGGAAACCAGAAAACCCATTTCTAGTTCACTTAAAACTGCATTTTTCACCAATGCAGCACCTTTTGTTGCAGTGTTTTTTAGTTCATGGGATAGGATGTTGACTTTTGTGGTCCTGTGTGGTTTTGATCTAATATCTTAATGCTATATTAATTTGATTTCATTAAAAGGTTTAAATACACTGAGTGTGATGAGGAGTACGTATTTCTTTTAAAGGTGGTTATTTCACTAGTCTGGAAAAATGTATGAAAACCAAAGTATTTCACAACAATCAGAAAATGGTTACTAATACAATGAACAAAAAGTGGTTGAACAAGATTGCCTTGTTAGACAAAATAGTCCAACTTTACCAAAGTAATTACATACTAATGAAAAGTGCTGTATATAGTAATGTGTCAGAGGTGGAGTTTAGGATTAGTGTTCATTATTGAATATTCCAAGTAAAAAATTGTGTGCTTGCCTGGAGTCATAATTAACACAGCCTTAAACTGCGTAGATACTTACACCCAACAATCAGGAAATGGTGAAGCTAAGACTGTTTATAACTTGGGCATCTCGTGATTGTGAGTTGCAGCATAATTTATTTCATGACTATTAAGCTATTTGTTTATCATCTTTGCTTAATTAATCCATAATGTATTAAGGAGGCAGTGGTTCAGGGTGGGTTTTTTTAAGCCTTATCATTCTTTGCAAAACAAATAGCCAGCATAACAGCAAGTTTCACTAAGCAGGCTCTTCCGCTCTTACCAAGTGCTACAGACATTTCTCAAACATTAAAAACTATGGAAACAAGGCTGTCAGACGTGAGGCTGTCAATTTTATATGTCAGGGCTGTATAGGAAATCAAAAGTAATCTTCCCACAGAAGCTTTTTGTTTCCAGAGCATTTGTGATATTTGCAGTGAATAAAATAGATGTTTGGACAAACCCCAAAAATTATTCTTGTTTATGTTATTCTTTAACCCAAGATAGTGAAATAATTATGTTTAACCTGAATGCATATAAAATAATAGTTGCTTTAGTCTTAATTTTACTGCTTTCTGACTGAATGCTTTGCAGTGTTGATCTTTTACAGGCCAGTTACATCCTGATATGTTATCTGTTTCAAACTATTTCATACCTAATAGATGGACGTAGCTAATTCTGTGCTATAAGTCCTTGGGTCCAAAAGGTTTTTTTTTTTCCATGTGGAGTGGCCAACTTGTGGTATGTAGGAATGTCTTATGAGACCCACAGCTCTGTGCAGCAGAGCACTGACTTGTGTGAAGTGGAAGTAAGGGGTTATGCTGCTTCTCTCCCCCTTTTGAAAAAAAAAAACTACTGCAGCTTACTGTTCTGTGTGTTATTTGCCCTTCTGGTGGCCCTACAGTAAACAATGTACTTGCCTGGATAAAAGATTTTGGCACCTCATTTCTATATCTGTGAAGGGAGGGAAGTTTTCTCAGTTAGCTGCGGCTTACTTATGCGCATGTACACTTACAAAAATGTTTACCTGTCTGCCTTATGAGAGACTTTTATGCTCCAGGATGCCTGCTTTCTTGCCCAGGTCTCAAAGGTACATTCATCTCTATTAGTCTGTTCCTGGCCAGGAGAATCTTCAGTACTTACTTGCAAAAAAATATAGCTACGTTTTCTGCTTAGGTGATCCCACAGACTGGAGCTCTATTGTGAGATTACCTGGTTGCCCAGCAGTGTAGCTTTCACACAGTCTCAAGAACGGTGTCATTCATCTGTACTTAGACAGGAGTTATCCTCAACACCGAGTTTAAGGTATGAGAGGAAGTCTGCTGTCAGTTTTTGAATACTGCATTGACATAAACCTGGCACAACATCTGGAAGCTGTTTAAAAGTCACAGAATGGTGAGAGAAAGCTGCTAGAGAGATGCAGGTTTGTGTGAATCTTGTACACAGTGCAGCACTTGAGAACAGAAGTAAAGTAATATAGTTTAACTAAAAGTGGCGATTTTCAGGTCTCTGTCACATGCTTGGGAAAGTTTCTCTCTTTTAGTACTTGGCTATGAGTCATTTCTTCATGCTATAACTATTAATATTAAAAAGGCAGGCTGAAAACCTGTAGTAGGTTGTTCTTTAAGCTTTATTCAACATCTTGAATGCCAGGAAGATGGTCACTTCAGAATTTGGTTTCTAGTCTTCTTGGTTTTATTGGACTTCTTATGTTTTTACTGAGCCAGTTTCTTGACTTGTCACCTTCAATTGGAGAGCAAGTGATGGGGCTTTTGTTCTAGAAGGTAAAACATTGAAAGTTGTTTGAAGGAAGGAGTAGTCAGGATAACAGTTTGATTTTTTTTTTTTTTTTATTTAATATACTATGTTCTAATTGTAGATGCCTATTTTATACTGTGGTGCTCTGATATAATGCAAAATGATTTAATAATCCTACATACAAATAGATTGTCTTTAATGCATCACTGTTCTCAGAATTAGTAGTCTGCTAAAGTTAGTGCGTAATGCCTGCCTCACAAGAAACTAGAGGAAATAGCAGTATCTTCCAGTTCTGAGTTAAATTTTGTGTTCCTGTTGTCTAATGCTTCAGCCCTCCTCAGAAGAGCAACGTTTTATAGACAGTATATATTTCAGTGCCTAACACTTTTTTCTAAACAAAATATGTGCTTTATTTGAATTAGACTTCCCTTAGGCATATGTTAATTACTCGATGTCTTGATCTTTCATGGAGAGACTTCCATAGATCACATCCATTTTCAGTCAGGCTTGCAAAATGACTAAACCTAATCACTATATCCACAAGAAGCAGCCAGCTACCATTGGATATGACCCTACTTCCTTGTACATAAAGAATTTTTATTTAGTTAGATGTTTGTTTTGTTTGACATTCTCCACAGGATGATATTCTGTCAGATTTGGACTTTGTTCCACAGGTCCTTGAGATGCAGGGCGTGAATTCGACTTTCCTATGTAATATGGCTTACTGATAAAACCACAGCTGGAGAAAATCTGGCAAAACACTAGATAGTCATATTAATTTCAAATATGAGCTGCTGTAGCTGATTGCTGTCACAGGCTTGCTGTTCTGTCACTCTGTCTTTACTTCAAATAATTGATACTGTACTGTTTCTAACTAATGACTTAAAGACTCTTTACCAAGTTTTGGTTTTCCACAGTATTATTAAACTTCTGAATTTGCCTCTTGGAGATCAGGCATTCTTGCTTTCTCTCACAGCACTTGTGCTTCTGTTTTAGTTCAGCTACACACTTAAGTGTCCTGCTGCAAGTAACCTGTAAGCATGAGACCTGCTAAACAAATGTTTCATACCCTGCTTGCTTTTTGTATTGTCTGTCACGCCAAGTTGTAAGCTAGACATCTGTACTAAATTCATGCATTCCTTAAAGTATTAGATTTCTGCTGGGTTTTGGTTCTGGTACTTTAAGAGAATTATTTACATTGTAAAGCAAATGTTTAAAAATTCTGAATATTTGTCTTAACTGTGTATGCTGCAGCTCATCAGTTAAGCTAAATGCCCCAATGAAAGTAGGTTTCAAATACTCTAGCCTGAATGGAAAAGCAGTTCTGACTTATTTTGTGTACTGAAAGCAATTTTGAGAACAGATAAATATTTCTTTAGAACTGAGGCTTAAGTTGCTTTTTGTTAGTATTTCTAGAAGAGGGACTTGACTTGTTATGCAACTTGCCCAGGTACACTTGACTAAAAAGTAATTTTCTGAGCCTTGCTGGGATGTGTTACTTCTCACCTCCCTACAAAGGCAAGCAGAAATGTTCTCTGACTGCACTTAAAACTGAAGTGATCTGTACCCAAGAAAAGTCTGAGCACAAAGTTCCATGTTTTGCATAAGCTCGCAATGGACATTTTAAGAGAGACGCAGTTTTTACAAAGAGCTCAGAGACATATCTTGCGGCAGACCTATGTAAAGTTTTTTGCCTATGCTTCAGTTTTATTCCTGGATATAGGGCCTCAAGTGGAACAGTTGGGAAACATTTTTGGCTCAGACTATGGAAAGTGGGTTTCCAAGCCAAGTGGTTAACGATTGCACCAAAGTTACTCAAAGTAAGCCTTCATTTGCAGAACTATTAGCTAAAGCGGTGACTGAAATGGTATATAGGAATATCCTGCTGTTTGCAGTGAAACAGAAGGTTGTCTGACTTGTGAATTGCCTAACTTTCTGCAGGCTTTCCAATTCATGAGTTTCTCAGAAGAAAGCCGTTAAATGGTTCTCAGCAATGGGTTGGAATGAGAAACTCCATCTCCAACAGCTTTTTATACAGGACTGAAACTCTAACTCTGATTAGCTTACGTGTTTCAAGAGTGGGAGGCGAGATGAAAGTGATTTTTATTCCCCCCCGCCAGCATTTCATGAGGGTAATTTGAACTGATGGGCTTTAGACATTGTCAGAGCTTAGGCAGCAAAGGCATTTTTTAACTGTTACACTTGTTCAGAGGGAGTATAGTCTGAAAGAAAAAATCATTCATAAGCAGGACTCTGAGGAAGCTATCTGCTGTTTTGTGAAGATGAGACCAGAAGCTGTGAAGTCGGTGTGTTGACTGCATACTGCATAAATGTAATTCCTGGAAGAAGGCAAATAAGATTAGAATTGAAAACTACTAAAGTAGTCCAGTAGTCCTTCATCTAAGGTAGCTTTTGTCCCCTTGTAAGAGGTAATACCATATTCTCATAAGATTGAAAGTCCAAACTGAATCCTGAAACTTGCTTTTTTTTCACCATCTGCTATCCTGCTTGGTTTGTTTTTTTTTTTTTCTGTGTATTAACCTCACACTTTCTGCTCTTTATTTCATAAGTGGGCTTTCCCATTTGTCTAGAAAATTAAAAAACAAACACAAGCTTGTGAGCAGAAGGGTCTCATCCACTTGCTCTCTCACAAGTTGTTTTTTTCACTCAAGTTGGCTGATGTATACTTTTTCTGTATTGGAAAGACCCCGTGAAGACTTCAGGTCTTCCTGAACAACAAAAAAACTTGAATGGATGAGTACCTGTCAGACTTGCACATGTCATACAAGTTAATACATGATAAAGATTGCCTTAATACCTGATAAACATGGTGTCTACAAAGATACAATTTCGTCCTTTTGTATTTCATCAGTAAATGATGTCTACACTAGAGACTGTGGGATATATAGTTATCCCAAGTCTGCTTATCTTGAAACATGAAATCGTGGATGATTACACATGTAAATTGAGAGGCTGTGGAGTTTGTGCTACACAAAAAAAAGAATGTCTGCCTAAATTACAAGAATAGCCCACAACTCCAGTTCTGGTATTAACTTCTGAATTCAGGGTGTTTTTTTGGCAGAGCTGGTGTCAGTTTTCACCAGTGATCACGGTAGTCTTGCTATGGCAAACACTAGACACAAACACTTCAGAAGTTTAAGTTGCTGCATGTTAATTAGCAAGTGAAACAACATTTGAAGTAGTGTCTTTTCTGCTCAGTGCTTGATTGAAAAATGTGTGTACACAGGCTTAGTTCCAGCAGCACTTCTAGGCCAGATAGCATACGAGCACTCTTAAAAACAGTAGTCCTGTTTCTCTGTAACCCAACAGGTAGAGAAGTGCATACATGTTACACTTACGTGCTTGCAAGGCCAATTCATTTAAATCTCCTTAAAAGTATTGAACAAAACTTTGCCTTAGGAGTCTGAGAAGGACTTACGCTTCATAGAAACGCTTGTCTTTGGAACTCCCTACCATGAAGGAGACATGAAGATGCTTCTCCATGACTTGACAGTGTGTCCTAATTTTTCCTCAGATTGCCTCAAATATTCTCGTTTGTGTGGGGAATTAACACCTGAAGTTGCACCTTTCAAAGGGTATTTCAGTGTGGAGTAATTCCAACTTTAAATATTTTGTAAGAGTATAAGCAAATGTTTGTTTTGTATATGCATGAGTATGTTAAACTTTTATTGCCTTGCTATGGCTTTGGGAATAATGGGGCTTGGCATAGATTCAGGAAGGTAATGCGGGTGTAACCCTGAGCCAGTGAAAGACTGGATTTGTTGTTTCCTCTTTTGTTGTTTCAACACAGTAAAATCATAGTTAGGAGGGCTCAGTTCTTGTTCGTTTGGGTTTTGTGGTGTTTTGTTTTTAGAAAGATGGGGCGGGAAAAAGTGATTTTTGCCACTCCCTCACAGTTCTTTAGAAATGGTGGCCTAGTGATAGATAAAACTGATTTTAAACCTTTTCCTTTTCTGTATGACTCTGTGTTGGTGTGACTGCCACTATATATTTTTTTTGCATCAATCGGGTACCTTCAGTTTAGCAAAGAAAATCAGGAAAATTTGTGGCTGTGAGGACTCACTGTGCATGTAATATTTCTTTACTTCCTGGCTACTTCTGCATACTTTCCAAAAGAATTAGGAGAACAGTAAAGCAACCAGTTTCAGGCCTGGGATTTTGTGCATATTCAAGAAGGGGATGAGTTTTTGTGATAACTTGGACCAGTCTAAAATAGAGCAACTTCATAGTGCCTGAAGTACCTTTGTGGATATGCTGCAACTGGAACCAACTTTATCTGTGTAAAAGATAATATGTGTTTCAGAGTACGTGGAAATTATTTGGAATACGTTGAGTCAGGGTACAGCAACAGTTTTATGGTCATGTCCTTTTGATAGTTCTTCATTCTACTTTTTGTTCTACTTTTAGTGTAAATAGTGAAGTATACCATCTGAGCAGTACATGGAGTTACGTTGATGTGATTTTTGTACATATTAGCTGTGATAATCTTCAGATTTTTTCAACTTTTTTTGAAGGACAATGTCTTCAGATTTTTCTGTATTTTTAGTGGAACTTGTGAGAATTATTAAGCTACTGCTGCTTGTGTAGGTGGTTAACCATAAGCTTGTGCTTAGATGATTTTATTTCATGTAATGCAGTAATAATTACATCAAAATAAACAAGTTTTATTTTACCAGGGGAACATGAATGTGGCAGCTCGATTCAAAGAAATCTCACCGTCCAGGAAGCAGCTGCATATTTAAAAGTAAGCAAGTGAGGTATTTTTCATTGCTTGTAACTCACACAAGACTTATATACAGTTTGTAAGGCCTGGTTTCATATCTAGTGTATTGACTAAAATTTGACTTGATATCTTTGACAAATGCTGCTTAGGACTTTTGGGGATGTAGGAGGGTTTTGGGGGAGACAGAAAGTGAAAGAAACTGGCTGAATTGCAGCGGAAGTGTAGATAGTGGTGCTTCAGTGGCATGCAGTTTTTTGCCCTTTAGTTAAACCACCAGAGTATAATTTGAATTGATAGAAGTAGTTGACAAACACAAAAACTGTAAATTTATCAAATTCAAATCTCTAGAAACTTATCCAGAAATCAGTACACTGTTTTGAGACTTAGTAGAAAAGGGTACTGTCTTCCTTTCTCTGTGAGAGGAGGTTGATGTGTGGCTGTGTGCAGCGTGCCTGACAGACAGCAACCGTATGGAGATGCCATTTGTTGATGCCTTAAATAGAAATGGTCAAAAAAGGCCTTTTTGTTAATTTGATAGGTGTGTGGTATGATGAAATCCCACTCTGCCATCATTTTCCTGCCTCACTCCCCAAATAAAAGATGACTCTTGCCTTGTCTTGATAGCTGTAGTGTTTTTTTTTTTTTTTTTTTAACCTGTGTTGAAGCACCTTCAGTGGAAAACTACTTGAAGCTTTTAGAAGGCTGAGAGTATTAAGATTTCTTTAATTAGCTGGGGGAGGAGTTAAGATGATGTGACTGTTCATATACAAATGTATAGAAATTTCACATTTGGGTGAATGTTTACATAGTAGACAAAAAAGGGGAAATGTTGCCCTTTTTTGAGCATCCTGAAGTAACGGCTAACACAGGTTTTGGATTTGGCAGTGATATTCTGTATCTGTTAGAATCAATGCATTGTTGGAATACATCACAAAAAATTGTTGATGCCAGAACTGTTGGTCTTGCCTATCTGTTGTACTGAATGACAGTTGTTATCACTGTTTTAGCTCTGATAAGTTTAAATTTCATATTAAATTCATCACTTGGTACAAAGTCTCATTTAACCCTTCAGTTCTTCATTTTTGGGAGTATAAGTCCTTTGTAGAATTTCAGTGTTCAATGATAAAGCCTTAAAAAAAAAACCCGTAACTTTTATTTTCACTTTGAGTAAAGTATTCAGTGGCCTTTAATGTCACTGGCCTTTAATTCTAGTCCAGTTACATTATGTGAGGTTCAAAGGGAAGACGGAGATAAATCTTTTTGGAGAGTATAATTTCAAATACAATAGTAACTTCCATCTTTGTTCTTTTTCTGCAAAAGAACATGCAAGTTGAATTATGGAGACAGCCTTATCTCAGAGGGCAATAAAAGTTTTTCTGTGATAGTTGATACCAACTAATTAAAAACAGTCAGCTTCTATATAATCATGTCAGTTCTTGAACTACAAACACTGGAGTATTTAAAGATTATCAGTTAAAATTTATTTTCCTCAAGCTTCTTTAAAAAAAAACACCCAAATGCTTTTATAGGACTTGTTTTCAGCTGGATTTATATCTATTTTGAGTTTTAACCCTGAAGTAGATTTTCAGTGAGCACCACCTAGTGGTTGAATAATTATTTCTTGATGTAGGTTAGGATTATTACTAAAATCTTGAATGTGGCTTTTTCTAACAGCCCTAAATTTGTGGAGTGCTAGTAAGACTGATAGCTGCTCCTAGCATGTACAGATTCACTTTGTGAACTAAGTGAACACTTACGCAAAATCTGAAAGAATGAAGAATAAAACAACATAGTTCTGGCTACTGTCTGCAGTATCTGAATTTTATTGTAGCATAACTTCCTGGTTATTTACAAAATTACTTATTCATGTTTGTCTTTTGACAGACTTTAGATCCAGAATATGAAAGTGTACTTAACACATCGTTACAATGGATCTTAAATAGTGGGGAAGATGTTGGCATAAAGTAAGTAGTCTCTATTTCTTAATTTCTTCTAACAGAATGTGTCCTTTTCCATAAATACTGTGTGTTTTTGAATAGGTGTCTCAGCAGTGATCCTAATGAGATGGATGTCACTAATGTGACAGATGTGAAATATCTGGAATCCACTAGTCCAAAGATGTCTTTCAGGTGTCGTTTTCGCCGTGCATTTGTTAATGTAACCCACAGATTGTCAATATTGCTTTTGGGTAAGTTAATTAAAAAATAGAACATTTTTTTGTTTATAACTTGTATTTATGTAAGTGCACAGGGAAAAGTAAGCAGCATGTTTAGAGACAGTTTTTATTAAACAATAAAACTTGAAGTTACTATCGGTATCTTTATTACAATGCACTTTGCTTCGCATTTCTCTGGCACCACTGTATTTTTCACACTGGTTGCCATCACTCCTGCTGTAGTCAGTTGAACATACTCGTTGTCTGGGAGCTCTGTGCTTTTTCCCTGCCAAAGCAATACCTTGTGGCTTTCAAAAATTCCATGTTGAACTGATTTGGAAAAGCAAAACTGCTCAGTAAAAAGACAGTCTTAATTTTGAGGGTATTTCACTGTTGTTCCAGGAACTTGGGAGACTACAGTGAAGATGATTTTTCTAATTTTAGAAAAATTTGGATATCAAACATGGTTGTCACCAAAAATGCTAATCTCTAAGACTATTCTGCTGTCCTGCATTTGGCTAGGACAGGGTTAATTTTCACCAGAAGCTTTGAGGTGCTGTGGCTGGGATAGCCAATGGAACCAGCCAACGGGATATTCGATACCATACAGATGGGCAAAGGCTCTGATTTTGGCTAGTACTGGGGAGCAGGGAGAGGTGTCCAGTGAGCACTTTTGTTGTGGATCACTTGTTTTATATATGATTTCATTAGTATCATTGTCATTACTGTAGTTTCTTCTTTCTTCGTGGTGTTCCATTAAAGTGTCCTTATCTCAACCCATGGGGTTTTACCTTCTTCCTCTCAATTCTCTTCCCCATCCCATTGGAAGTGGGGGTGAGGAGTGAGCAAGTGGCTGTGTGGTGTTTACCTGCCAGCTGGGGTTAAACCACAACAGTTGTAGAAATGTATCTAGACCTTCAGTAAGACTAATTGATTTAGTCTTTGATAGGCTTCAAATTATTTCAAGTTTAATTCTTGACCATATTGCGTAGTATGCAGCATAAAAAAAAATTGTGCAAAGGAGTGCAGACGCTTCAGTCCTGTCCAAGTAGCTGGTTAGAAATACTGAAGATGCAGAGTTCATCTCATGTGCCTATTTAATATGTAATAAAATGTTTATCTTAATCTCATGTCTATGTGCAGAAAACTTGAGACTTCCTGCACTAGCCTTTTGTTGAATTGAAAGAATCAAAGGCAAATTGTCCCACATTGCATCTTTCTGATGATAGCTGATATGAGGGTTGGATTGGGATGTGGAGATGAAACTCGGTATCCAAGTCAACCAGTGGTCTCAGTCATGCTGAGCAAATTGTTCTGTCTCTCAACTTTCTCATCTGTAACTAAAATGAACACGAAGCACCTTTTAAAAACAAAACAAAACCAAAACCCACCATTGTATAAATATTAGATGTTGTCATTAATACTGATTTTGCCTAAAACGGTGTCCATCTCTTTGATGCATTAGTTAACATTGCCTTACACAAATTATAGTTACATTGTTTTCTATACCAGTGATATGCATGTGTGTCTTTTTGTTTAATATTATTATTGCTAAGAGATCATGGGTGTAGTGGTGCCCCTCAGCCTGAGAAGCAGGAGGAATAATATTTTTATTTTCAGCTTATGCTGCTGGCCCTCCTTAACTAGATTGTCCTTTTTCAAAGTAATCTTTAATAGAAGAGCATGTTGTACTTTGTTTCAAAGAACACAAGTCTGTAGCTGAACTGAAGCAGTCCAAGTTAATTAGTTTTGACCAGTATATCTAAAGTGTGTGACTTGTCTGTGAATTAGTGAATATTGTGCATTTTTAAATCTTGACATGTTCTGAATTGTCAGTTTATGTGACTTTTGGGATGACTTTGAATTTTTCCAATATAGTTGATTTTCTGTTCTTCACAAATGGCTTAAATTTCAAACCACGGTCAATGTGTAACCGGGCTATTGTTAAAGCAGTGAAATGTTTTTCTGAAGGTAACTGCCCTTCAAAGTTTGCTAACACAGCAACAGGAATCTCATAAATTATAAAATATTGACAACAAGTACAGTGTATTTCACTAGCTTTGAAATTCAAAGTATGTCAGAAGTTAGCTAGTGCAACCAACTTCTGAAGTACGTGCTTAAACTTCATGAAATAACCAATGTTCTAATACTGTTTAAAGAGTATTATACTTCTTAATGCAGGCATAGCAATGGTTTGGGGAGTCTTGCACTACATGAAATACCGTTGGGCAAAAGAGGAAGAAGAAACGAGGCAGATGTATGATATGGTGGTAAAAATCATAGGTATGGCTTCTTGAGTCTCATCTGATGTATCTGTATCAGCTCTGTTTAAGCTTTCAAAGTACTGGCATTAATTCAGTTACGTTTTCTCCCTGATTAGTCGTCATCTTGCTGTTAAGAATTCTTGGTCGAATATGTGGTCTGGGTGTTTTGTTTCTCCTTTTTTTTTTTTCAGTCATCCTTTAAACCTAATCAAAACTTTTGGTATAAAGATTGTAATTTGTGAATTGCATCAACATGGAATTCCCATTGATTTGATGGTATTTTACCTAACTATTGAAACCAAATATACATGTGATGTTTGTTGACTAGAAGTATGGTGACATGTTGCTTTCTGTATGTGTTCTTTCAGTTATCTTTAGCTAAAATATTTACTCCTAACATGTATTAGCTCTCCATTTTATTCTTAATGGCTTTTCATAGAAAAAGCGAGGTTTTAATGAGGCAGTTTGAGCAGAAATTGTTACTAAAATAGAATGCGTAACTGAGTTCTGAAATTCTACCTTTCTGCTTGAAGCCACAATGTTTTCAGTAGTTGGTGTTTGTAGTTTTTAAGCTCTGTTTTGGGCTGCATTTTTACTTATTGTCTTATTTCATTTATGGCAATCATCATAGTATGGAGATGGTAGACAAATTTTACTTGGTTTTCTGTTGTTACTATTTTCCTACCTTTTCTGTTTGCAAAATCAAGTCTTGTTGGGGAGGAGGAAAAACACTTTATTTTCAGAGATAGCTGTCTTTGCCAACAGTTAAAGTACCAATCATGAGTAACTGCAAGACCTCTTTTCCTTTACTCCAAAGTTATTTGGAGGCACTGTGTGGTTAGTTTCCTTGATCTGTCTTCAGCATAGTTAGGAGGAAAATTGCTTGAGAAGACCAAATCCACCTTAAGTACTGAAATTGAGAGTGATCTTCAGAGTAGCTGTTAATTGCTAGAATTTATATTTTTCTTAATGTTTTAATGACTGCATAGTTACCAGTTTTTCTTATGGTGTCTTCAGATGTTCTGAGAAGTCACAGCGAGGCATGTTCTGAAAATAAAGACTTGCAGCCTTACATGCCTATTTTACATGTACGTGATTCTCTGATACCGCCTCAGGACAGGTATGTTCTCACTGGAATTTCCTCAGGTGTAAGTAAGGAAAAACAGTAAAAATTGGTCAATTAACAAAGTGAATTTCAGGTGATTGCATAGTATCATATTTTGGACATTCTTATTGACTCAGGTTGGGGGGGAAAACCCTTGGATTTCTCTTACATGTTACGTGTCAGCTGTGCAGGTTGTTATAAAGCTAACTTTGTAATTCTTGCTTCAATTTCTAAGGAAGAAAATGAAGAAGGTCTGGAAAAGAGCAGTCGACTTTCTTGCAGCAAATGAGTCTAGAGTTTGCACGGAGACACGAAGAATAGGTGGTGCTGAGTTTCTGGTTTGGAAATGGATGCAACCTTCTGCAGCATGTGACAAAATTTTAGTAATACCATCAAAAGTGTGGCAAGGCCAAGGTATTGAAGTTTGGTTATATTTTGCAGTTATAATTGTTCTCATTTCTGCATCTAACTTGTAAATGGTGTTTTGTTGCTTGAACATGAAAGACTTGTTTCTTCTCACACCTTTTAAGTATTGTTATGAACTGTTAGTCCTATTTCTCTATTACCTTGTTGTTCAATAGGCATTGTATGCACTTTTTATGCATTTAATGTCTGCATTGTTTTCAAGGAAAATGAATTTTTCTGTTCGGCTACTGCAGAAATACAGTAGAGGGCCTGTAGCCAAAATTAGTTGCTTGTTCCTTTTCATGAATTTAAAAAACCATGCTACTTGGTTGGTCCAATTCTGACATACTTCCTACTTACTGGAAGTAAAATAATTGATTGTTATCTGACAGCATGTAAATTTGAGCTTGTAGACTTGAGTTTCCTTCTGTTATCGGTCAGGTATTTAAAGACAGAGCTTGGAGGAAGAGATGTTTATTTTGAAATGGAAACTGCTGGGACAAGACACTCCACAATCAGCTCACCACAGATTTTGAGCATCTAGTAGTGCTTCCTTTCTGTCATAAATGTTTTTCAACACTGTGTTTGTATTTCAAGCTCTCTGGTGCAGCAGATTAAAAGAGGAGGCTGTTGTTATATGTGGATTTCACAGTGTTCTTTCTCACTGTTCAGCTTTATCATGGAGCAAAGTGGCAGGAATACAGTGGGCTTTCAGTTGTCTGTCTGCCGTGGTCATCTTTTCCTTGTTCTTTTTCTTTCTGCCTTTTGCAATGTTAAGCTTCAAGTTTTGGGGTGGTTTTGTGTATTGGTCAATTACAAAATTGAAACTATAACTCTTGAATTTTGGGTTGCAGTAAAAAAGAATGGTCATTTCTTTCAGCGTCTGTGTTAAGGTAAATGCTTAAAGTGGAATCTTAATTTAAATGTGATTATTTTAAAGAATCTGTCTTGCCTTATGTTCTTCTGTAGTGCTGTAATACCTTCCCAGTGATGACAGAATCCAAGTTTATAAACTTGTCGTTTTATTTTGATAGTGAAGGGGAAAGCAATGGTTGCTTCTCCAGTCTTTAGTTCAACTTTTTAAATCAGATGTTGTCAAGATTGCATCTTGCATGACTTCTATGGCATTGAAATGGATGCTGAAAAGTTTAGTTAGACTTTCTACCCTTGGTGGTCCCAGTTAGTTTCCCACTGGCAAGCAACTGCTCTCTCACCTATGTTCTTTTAGACCATGCTCATTTTTGTCTTTGTTTAGCTAATGCAAGTAGTAATAGGCTTCCTTCTTTTGCTTTTGTTTTTGTTTCCTATAAAAGTGGGTACAGTTTAAAGTAGCTTCTTCCAATTGGATTATTTCCTTTCTGAACACAGGCAGAAAGAGCTTCTCTGTGGCCTAGAACATTTATGCTGTAGTAAGCTTGATTGCCTGTGTAGAACTACTGCTAACATTCTGGTTTTGTCCCAGGCCACTTCCATATTTTCCTGAGTTCTATGTATGCTCTTAGCCTTTGGGACTTGAATTTTGTCTTTCTGTAAGTTCAAAGCAAAACTGAACAATTCTTTCTCTCAACTTGAAAAGCCAAATATTTTGAGATGTTTGCAGGTACTTGGCATCTTACCTGATGAGGCTATTAGTGGGCTTGGAACCCATTTCTTACTTGTCTATGCAAAATGTTTTGTTGGCGTGTCATTATATACTTCTCAAAGTTACTTTACTGGTTTTAGCATTACATTTCCAATTTTAAATAATTCACTGGAAATGAGGCTTTTTTTTAATGTCTTGTGAATATCTGTAGAACCTTCAGGCTTAAGGTTCTACAGTCATTGCCTTGAGTAGTATTAACATGGCATTCTGCTGTGACAACAGTATTACATGATTTCAGTCTCTCAAAATGTTAGTAAGATGTGAATAGTAATGTTATTTCAAGAGCTGTAGACCCTTTTCTTTCTAGGACATTGTCTGCTAAGGATGTGGAGGTGCGCTTCAGATGCAGTGCAGAAATGGTGGATTTCATCAGCAGCTGTCCCTGCTTCATCTCTGTAGTACTGTCACAGTTGATTTTCAAATGCTTAAATGGAATGTAGCTTTTGCAAGGTAGTATATATTATGAAACTGGATATTCTGTGTAGTTTTGTTCAATACAGGCTGAAACGTGACACTGCGGTTCTGGAATTTCTCTTCTACTCATTTGCTCTCGATTTTTCTTGTCCTGTTTGGTTGCAATATAGATTACTCCATAGCATCTTGTCCTGTGTTAGAAACCAGACTGGATTTTCTTTCATATGGAAAATTTCTCTGTGTGTGATGGTTCAGGTGCTGCTTTGTTACATGGAATACACATTCAAGACCCTAAACAGAACAGTAGTTTGCAGAACTTCCTAGAAAGACAGCTGCTGTAGTAGCTACTGTTAGGTACCATCTGAATCTGACCATCTGATACCTACTTTAGTATATTGTGAATACAGACAGAATAACTTGTCTCTGAGCTGTGACTTTTAGCTGTATGTTGCCTAGAGTAACCACTTAAAACTTTGTGCATGTGTTGAATAGGATTTAGGAGGATCTATCCTGTTTCACTTCCTTCAGTGGCAGTTTTCCTAGTTTTCTTATGTCTGTAGTTCAGCAAAGATCTTTGAAGAGCTGACATAGCATAGTTTGCCTCTAACAAAATCATGGAAATAGAGGTGGCTAAAATGACACAAGTTACTCGGTCTCTATAGCTTCATAGTCAGCAGGCAAAGGCAATTTTTGCGTGTGAAGGCTTTCTGTTTTGTATTCCTTCTTTTCATGTGCCTGGAAATAGTTCTCTTGCATAAGACGTACTTGGCACAACCGTTTCTTGATGCTAGGAATTTTATCTGTATGTCACTTTATTCACTTCTGGAAGTATATATCAACTGGAATTAAGCTTGTTCTCTAGTTTTGATGTTTAAATAATACAGAAGTTCATAAAACTAGATGCTCTTCAAGACTGCTGGGTCCTGAATAAACTGGATGTATAAAATCAGAGTGAATTCTTGGTTTTGAATCTTGTGAATTAATATCAAGGTCAGAATTTTTTTAACCATCTGAAATCTGGTAATTCTCTGTAGTAGAGCACAGTACCTACGAGTATGGGCGATTGAAGAAGAAAGCCTCTTGACCTGTCAGTGTGTACTAAGATGCTGGTGGATGATAGCATGCTTTTTAAATATGGGACCTGTAGCATGCCAGAAGATCTAGGCTCTACTATTTGTTAGCACCTGGAGTTCAGACATCACTGTGGCATTTTGTTCAGTTCTTCAGGATGCTGCCTGTGTTCTGACAGTTTGGGATTTTTTCTTTCTTTTTTTTTTTTTTTTTCTGAGCCAGAATAACATCTGGTGTAGTTACTTTGAAATGGTATGTACTGGATACAGTAGATGTATCTGTCAGAGAAGAACAAACAAAAAGGGTAGCTAAGCTCATTGTAGGATGATGGACAAATATGAGCGATGGTTTTAAAACAATTGACAAGAGAATTATCACTTTAACAAACAATCTTGATCACGTTGAAGTGTAATTTAATTAAACCAGTGAGGAAAAAATACATTTATAGTGTGTTCAGTTTGCTGTTGAAAGAACAGATACTATTGTCCTAGCATGGCTTTGATAACTGGGGTTCTAAAGAAAAATAGGTAGGCAGGGCTCTGATGTAGCTAAGCTAATGTCAATAGCTAAAGTTCCTTGACAGCTTTGGAGGTGAGATAAAGAGGTTCTCTGAAGTCACATCTAGGGTGATATTTTATCCTTCAGCATGGAAGATAACCTACTACCTTGTGTGAATGACATCCCTCCTCCTCTAGCTTGTGAGAATATAATCCTTCCTCCGTGTTTAAAAAAAAAAACCAAACTATTCCTAACTATTGCAAAAAAACTCTGGATTTTATGCTTGTTGTGAAATGCTGTATCCATCTCATGCTGGTCTTCTATAGCTGAAGTTAACCATACTAAACTCCCAAGTCAACCAAACACGCTCTCCTCCCAATAACGTTTAGCAGTATTTTGATTTCAGTATCTTTCCTGATTACTGAAGAACCTTGTGTTCTGTGAAAGTACGCAACTTCCTAATTTTCAAATGTTTTCTTTTGTTCTCGCCTTTGATAAGAAAGATTAGTACTTCATAAAGTAGTGATCTGTGGCTTAACATGAATGAATCTGGTCTTCAGAAACATGGTTACCTGTAAGTGATAGAAGTCTTCAGACTTCTTAGGTGCATCAAATCCATGTATAAAGATCTCTTGGGCTGTCTTATAGTCACTTCTTCTATCATAGACATGGTCCAGTCACAGTGATGAAGATGATGTTGAAAGCACACACTTTTAGCTGCTTCTTTCCTTTGAATTGGGAATGATAGTCATGTTCATCTTAAGTAATAAACCAAAGTACAGTATAATTGAAATATGAAGTGGCTTTCTTTTCTTGAAGGTGTTCACTGGTTCCCAAAGGGAATTTATAAAAGTCTTAATCTTCTTTTCAGTGAGTTACTGCACAAAGTTGTGCTTCTGCTTTCCTGTTCTATCTCCACATTTGTAAGTGGAGATCTCCTCATCTTGTAAGTCTTACTGTTGAGACTATTTAGGAACAGAAATGGTATCTGAGGGGCTTAGTTAATTATGGTGTAGCTCAGGCTGTTGTCCCACGATAATATCTGCTTATGCCCTTACTGTGAGGAGAACATTTTGTGTGCTCCATACCAGTGTAAATTTTCAAATAATCACTACTGTAATCTGAATAGGTTTGTCACTTTAAACTTCCTGCTTTGGAGCGAAGGGGACAGTTAATTTTTATAGGTGTGTAATGATGTTCAAAAGTCATCTGTTAACTACATTATTTTGAGTTTTGCTGTTTAGGTACAACATTATTTTTAACTTGCCTGGGTCTTCTCTAGCTCCCCTTTGGTCTTATTTCTGGTATACATTTTAATGCTTATTACTCTGCTAGTATTTTGTGCCTCACTGATTTCTGTGGCCATTTTTTTTCCTTCCCCTTATACTTAATAAGCTCCATCTAATTTGCAAATCTTTCTTTTAATTTACCATGACTTTGAAACATTTTTTGAGAAAAAGCAGAATTCATCTTTTTCATAGGCTGCACTGCCATGGGCAAATTTGCTCTACTAGTTATATTAAGTTGGTAGCAGATTAATCTTGTGCCGGTGGTATGTTCTGGCTGAAGTCATCTATGCAACCACCTGTGATCTTCTAATCAAAACAACTTCAAGATTATTAGAAATTGAAGCAGGCAAAGCTTAGTTTGTACAGATATCTACACTAAGGTGTGAATCCCCATTTAGTTACTCTTCTGTATGTCAGTAGTGTAGCTGCTGCCTTAACATTATGGGTGTTTTTGAGTTCATAAAGAGCTTGCAGAAAAGTTGATCCTCTGGGCGTAGGGTCTTTGCAAATAACCTCACCGTTCTTTGTCCTTGGATTAAAACCATGTGCTGAATAAACCTAGCTATTAACAATCAGCACATAATTGCCTCAACCCCACGCCTTTTCAGGTCCAGGTCCATGAGTAGGCCTCCCCAGATCTCCTTCTCCAGTATGGTGTGGTGCCCCAGTGTACAATATGCTGGTGACATTTCACTCCCCCTTGATCTGCTGGAGCCAACCTACATGAGTAAGGTAAGTCCATTTATTTTTCAATGTTGCTTAGTTCTGTAAAGTTTTTATTGCATACCCTATGTGTAATTTTTAATCAAGGGCAAAAAACTTTACAAAACCATGTGCTATTGAAAAAGGACTTGTCCTTAAATTATAGGCAGCTCAGAGACAGATGCAGTGTCACCAGCATATTTAGAAATCTCTTCCCAAGGAAAAACAGAGTTATTACAGGTATTGGTGACTTGGACTCTGTGTGTGTGTATTCTAATAAAAACACTTCTAGTTATTTGGGGAACTTACAGTAGGTTCCATGTTAGATTTGGAGGCCGCTTTTTCTGATTTCTAGTTGCTATATATAAAGTTTTGTGGGTTTTTTTGTGGTCTTCCCTCAGCAATTTATATAAGGAGCAAGTTAGTTTGTGCTGTGTCTGCAGGCAGTGAGTTTTCTCTTGATCACTGCTGGTCTTTCACATAGAGTGTCTTCCATGTGACTGAATTTCTTTGACATGATGTTGTTTTTGTGACATACAGAAGAGCAGCAGTGTTCACATATTCTGGGTATATTTGCAAGATTTTATTTTAAGAGGTCAGCAGTAAGAAGCACAGACCTGTAGTGTCATCTACCCAAAACTGAGACTTCTACCACTCAGCATGTAACATCTTGAATCTGTCAAACTTTTTCAAAGTAAGAGTTGCAAAGGAGAAGCATTAGCATCAGTTTGGAACATCATTTTGTCTTGCTGAGATTTTTAACCTTATGTTTAAACTCCTGAATCTGCTCATCTGAAGTCTTCAACGTAAAACTTCCTTCACGCCTTGGAAGTTGTTTTACCAGGTTATCCTCTTCCATTTCTGTTGCTGTGATGTTGGTCCTCCTCAAGGCATGGAACCACCTTATCTGAATCTGAAGGACTCCTATACTCCTTTTCTTGTGCAGTCTTCTGCTGCAGCACTCATAAGTAGAACTTGGTGAACTCTAGAAAAGTCTGTATTTATTTTAGAACTTCAAATTGTTCAACTTTGACAGAGTTACTCTTGTTTTAATTTCCATTTTTCATCTCTGGTATGTTTCATTTTGGATTTTTGCAAGCTACTGCTCGTGTGTGTAGAGCATTTAGGGTTGCAAAAGCTCCATCCTTGTAGAATGCTTCCTGACAGTTGTTATTGCAATATAACATCTACTTAAGCATCTCTGTTTCTTAGATAGGCAGTAAAGTGCCTCAGAAGTGGAAGAAATGAAAATTCATCTGGTATTTAAAACTGAAAGGTTAACCTGCAGCTCCAAAAATTTGCTCCAGATATTAAGAATGTCTCTTAATGAAAACATAATTCAAATACTTTTAAACTTTATAGTATTTTTAAAAAAAAATGTCCTGAATTCCTTCCATGTGCTGTGGTCTGGATATAAAAGTATGTTGCCGTAATTACAGGAGTTACAAATCTGAAAGATTGAGTTGTGTGGTACGTTTTCATCTGTGCAGTAAAAGTCTGCGGGGAACTTTATTTGCTTGAAGCTTTTTCATATATGAAGGAAACTTGAGCAAAACCAGAAAGGTATTAATGTATAATGTTGGCACTTGTTAACTAGATGGTATTATGCTTGTCAATAAATACTATTAAATGTTTTTCTTTTTGTAGCATTTCATCTAGATAGAAGAAATTCACCACCAAACAGCTTGACACCATGTCTAAAGATTCGCAATATGTTTGATCCAGTTATGTAAGTAAAACCAGTTATCTGTGTATTTCTGTCATCTTTTGAGAGGCTCCATTTTTTTTCCTCTGAGAAAGGGTTTGGAAGAAGTGGGCAAACATGAGTACCTTAAAGCAACAAACAGGCTCTACAAAAAAAATCTTCCCCTTAACATCTATGAGAAGATGTAAATAATCTTGTCTGCCTTCTTTCCTTCATTGTCTTGCTTTGTGTGTTTGGGTCACTTCTTGAAGGGTGTGGCATTTAGCCAGACTACTGGGAGCAATGACTGATCTTTCTCCATCAATTAATTCTGTAAGTGTCCAATTACATCAGCAGACAGGGGAGACTCATATGACCTAACAACAGACTGTAAGTTTCTGAAGTGTGGTTGTGTACTCTCTAGTGGTTAGACTGTTACAGAGCTTGCTCAGTTTGCATTTAGGAGACTGAATTTAAATCTTTTATTACTTTATGCCAGTGTGACTGCCTAGTTTTGAAGCAAATGGATTTTAGTAGTGGGAAGGTTTTAAACAAATTAGTGCAGAGTACTGGCTTCTAATGCTCAGATATAAGAGTATGTACCATCTATGAATAAGTAACAGGGCTTGTTTCATGTGCCAAGAGTTAAGGAAGACTAATGAATTTTTGGCAGTCTTTTAAAGCTTCATCCACTCGTCTACCCTGTTTTATTCCTATTGTCTGCGGACTGGATCATGTTAGGAGCTGGGGACTAACACAGGTTATGTCAGCTCATCCTTTCTAATCTTTGAATCCTGATTTGTCCCATGCAAAGAGGTACAGGGACTCCAGTAAATCCTCTGAAGTAATTTTATTCCCTGATGTGATTACACAAGGGAAAAACGAGGATGCTCTGTTGTCTTACATGGTAAAGGTGAGATGCTAATTGAGACTGAAGAATATGAGAAGTTGAGTGGAAGAGAAGCTGTTGGTTAGAATAGGGAACAACAGGAAGGGCCACCGGAGTATGGACACGATTGCAAAGTTTGAATTGCTCTGTTTCACTTCTCTTTCTAGCTGCACTGAATTACTTTAGTTCCTTGCCTTATTTAACTGTAAAGCTGTTAGCTGATTTTGCTGAGGACAGTATTATCCCTGGCACAGAGAAGTACTCTCAAAAACTTTTCTTAATGGCTTTAAGACTTAATGACCATCATGGGCAGACACCCAAGCTGTGGCTTCTTTCATAACTTTCAGGTTGCGGTAGGGTGAGCAAGACTGAAATTTTAGGCATTGTTCTTGGGGAAAATTGATCCTCATGTAGGTGGATGAAATAAAATGTGAAATTTGAGAATTTTAGGTGAGATCAGTGTCCTTATTGTCCTTGCTACAAAGAAGACATCATGAGCTGTACTGGTTAGTCTGAGTAGTACTGAAATAAAGCCATTCCTGAAGTTTCACTGCAATACTTTTTGGTATGCTGTATTAGTTCCTTCCTTGTTCCAAAATTCTAGCTGTTCAAAATGTCTGCTGTTAATGGAAGTAGTAAATGAGATTTTTTTTTTGTTAGAACAATCTCTTTATATACTGTACCTTTGCCATAAACTTCAGTGGTTTTCTCCACATTTATAGACGAGGAGTTGTTATCTTTTGACATTTCTCTTTAGTGTCTGTGTCCAGGCAGCTATTTTGAATAGTGCAACTTAGAATACATTGACTTTTTGTAGACCTTACCTTTTAGAAGTTGACATAGCTCTGTTACTGGACTGCTGGATTAGAGTTGTAGTGGGATGCTTCATCCACTTCCCTATTGCACGCCCTGGCCCATTCCTCTTCCATGAGCTGTCTTGCCAAGGACTGCTGCTTAAGGAAGCACCTTTTTATCACACCCTTGGAGTGATCTTAAACCACACAAAACCTGCAGTGCAAGACCAACTACTTTATTCAGCTGCTTGTGCTAAAAGAGGAAGGAAGTTCATGTTCTTGTCTCAGAACTGAAAGGGATGAATGCCTTCACTGACCACCTGAAACACAGAATGTACCAGTGTATGGGATTAGATTGGCAAACACTGTTTTGACGTTTGCCATGGCTGGGAGGTATGTTTAACAAATTAGATTGTAGCTGCTCTTTAAGTCAAGCTATTGTATACTAGCAATAAATGACAGTCCTTTTCAGCAATATGCCAGTAGCTGGTAGAAGCAGCCACCCGTAATAAAGGTCTTTTCTCTTGACTTGGGAATCATCATTTATCAATGCTAATAGAGTAAATCACCCTTCTACTGCCAAAAGTCAGAAAATGTAAGCTAGACATTGTGAACCCTCTGACCACAGTAGCAGCCTTAAACTTGAATGTATGTTCTAGGCATTTACTGTGGCAGACATAAACCTGCCTTTAAAAATGTCAGTCTAGGCATCATTTGGATAAGCCTGTTCTAGCATTTCTGCATCTACCACTAAGTCAGTAGAAAGAACGGTTCATAACGCGTGGGTCACGTTCCTGCAAGGCTTGTATGTGCCATTAGCTGCCCATACATGTGCAGGAGGGGAGGGGCAAGTCGTTCCCCTTGGCAGCCTGTTTCACTGTGGGAAGTCCAAGTTAATCAATGATAACTTGGTGCTGTTCCATGTCCTAGGTCTGCAAAACCCAAAAAGCAGACCAGACTGCGAGTGCCCTTCTGCTTCACTTGCAAACAGGAAATGAGCAGCGACTTCAGTATTTGGGAAGAATACACAGCAGAAAGGATAATTGCCCACTCTTAACAATATGATCACTTCTCACAGTAGCTGGCTTTCTGCTGATGACAGCATGATTCTCAAGAAAATCTGGGCATGAGTCCCAGGCTGGGAAGAAATGCACCAAATCAAGATTTCATATAATCAAAGAACAGTTTATGTTGGAGTGGACCTTTTGAAGATTCTGGCTTTTGCAACTTGGAATTATTTTTTCCCTAACATCCTGAGCACAGAAAGTTATTTAGAAAATACTGCTGCTTACACGCTTAGAAGAAGGAGAAGGAAACGTACATATTCTGTTCATTTTGAGCATCTAGTTAAAAGAAAATACTTTTTTTTTCCTTCCAACCTAAGTAGGGTGTATCTTCTAGCTTTTGCAGGGTTTTAAATTGTAGGTGTCTTCTTCTGGAAAATCTCTCTCCTATTAGGACCTTCATTTGGATCTTCTTTGCACCCTTGTGTCTTCTCCTACTTTTGTTCGCTTGTTTAATATATGATCTGCCTGTTAAGGGGTATCGATGGGAAATTCTGATCCTGTAACCAGTCATTACTAAATGACAGACACAAATCTAACCAATCAGGATCAAATGACAAATACAAATCTGACATTTCATGTTCCCAGAGTCCCTCAAGTGTTGTCCTAATGTTGTGCTTGACAGATACAAGCAACATCCCTGACCATTTAAGTTCCCTATTTACATTCCATCCCCCACTGTTTGGTGGGGTTTTTTTATGCATAAGGAGGAAGGTAGATTTACTGTTTCAAGAATTTTTGCAGTACTCAGAGAAAACTTTAAAACTACCCAAATCTCTTTATAGTATTATTGCAAGAGTAAGTTCATTGGGTTTTTTGTGTAAAGACTATTCATGCAAGCTTAAAGGTGTATTAAGGCTCCTGAAATTCTTTTCCCTCTGCTTAGATTTTATTTTATTAGGACCAGATAGTTCCTGCAGGAACTTGATAAAAATACTTTTGTCTTCTCTAATGATGTACCTAAAGATTTATTAGTCTTGACAATAAAATATTTATTGTAAAAAAGCCCCCAAAATTTGAATCTGCTTTTAACAACTTCTATTTCTGGATGTGGGTTGGCATGTTCTGTCAGTACCCCATGGGACAAAAGCAATTTGATGCTTTGTTTGGGGCAGTGAGGAGCTGCGTTGGGGATGAACAGTGAATAGCTAAAAAACTCCTTCAGTCTGCTGAAGCCTGACATGTAATGTTGCTTCTGTGACTGCTGGCCGAGGTGATACAGTAAAGGGACTGAGGCCTTTAGGCTGTTGTCTTCTGCTCTGCCACTGCAGTAGGGAGAGCCCAGGGGTGGCCTTCTCCTCTGAACAATGGCCAGCCCATCTGAGCAGGTGTGGGAAGATGGGTTTGTGACTGCTTACAGCTTAGAACAGGAAAGTGATGGCAGGCGCCACCCCTAAATACACATTATTCCTTTTGATTCTTGGGGTTAATTTAAGGGTTTTGATTCTTAGGGTGGATTTAAGTGGACCCTGTTACCCTATTTACTGAATAGCTGAGGTATTAAGTCTATCCCAAAGGTATTTAGCAGAAAATTTGTCAAGTTACAGAGAAACCTAATTTGGTGGGGAAAGATGAAATTGTTGTGAATGTTTAAAAGATGATGTGCTTAATGAAATCTTTGTTTGCATAGGGAAATAGGTGATCACTGGCATCTAGCAATTCAAGAAGCAATCTTGGAGAAGTGCAGTGATAATGATGGAATTGTTCATATTGCTGTTGACAAAAATTCACGTGAGGTCAGTGTCTTTCCAGTAATATTTTAATGCTTTGCTTATCCTTGTCTGTTGGACTTTGGGGGAAGAGGGAAAACTACCAAACAACCAACTGCATGAAACCAAAACAGCAAAACCTCCCAAACCTTCTCTTTCTTGTTGCAGGGTTGTGTATATGTCAAGTGTCTCTCTCCAGAGTATGCTGGAAAGGCTTTCAAGGCATTACATGGCTCTTGGTTTGATGGTAAGGAATGGGGCTTTATAACAAAACATGGGTAGAAATTACAGAAGACAGGTGCAGTTGGAGTTCCTTTAAATGGTAAAATATTTTACATACGAAGTATCGAACTGTAACAAAAACGGATCTTTTTAGTAGTCATCACCTGTAGCAATTTCAGTGCAGTGACATGTGTGTACTGCATCCTGAAGCAAGATGTAGTAATACTGATAGAAGGTTTCTCTTTTCTGTTTCTTTGCCTCACAGGAAAGCTGGTGACGGTGAAATACCTGCGGCTGGATCGGTATCATCATCGCTTCCCCCAGGCTCTGACTTGTAACACTCCCCTGAAGCCATCAAACAAACACATGAACTCTATGTCACATCTGCGTCTTCGGACAGGCACAACTAACTCTCAGGGAAGCTCCTGAGAAGACTTTCTACAACTGCTAGGACTGTTACTTGCAACAGGAATTTTCCTGTTTGGCTGCCGTCTTCCTTTTTTAGTGCTTTTTGTATGTAATACTTTAATGAACTAAATAAAAGTTTGGACGTTTCAGAAATCTTGTTTCCAAAGGGACTTAGCAATGAGGCAGTAATACTGAGCTGACAAACAAAAAAGAGGAAAAAAAAAATTGCTTCAGGAGTTTTCTGGGGCTATAGTAAACCAATGCATTTAAGTTTTGCATGAGGAATACTGAATTCATTGTACATTTGCAGATGTGGTGACTGTATTTTTGCACCAAGAGGTGTTTTTGATAATACAAAAGCATGGAGAAAAGACTTCATGTATTGCCATAGTTTCCCGTGAAATAATCTTGTGGGTATTTTGTAACAACCAACCTACAGTTCCTGATGGTGAATAAGTTAAAAAAAAAAACAAACAACCAAACTTTTTCAGTCAATATTAGTTTTTTGTTGCTGTATAAGAATCTTTTTTTTTTTTGCAGCCTCTAGGGTATGGGAAAAGTTAACTCGGCATTAGTGGTTGGGTGTAAGTGAGGGGAAACGAGCTGAATGCGGATGTACTAGGGTTTGTATATAAATGTAAATGCTGGTGGTGGCAAAAATGGTTGTGTTTTGTGAGGGTGTCTGCATTGAAGCAGTGAATAAGCTTCCTATTTTATTCAAAACATGATGTTTTATATGGTTTTGGCTGTACCTTGACAAGAGGCCAAATACCTAAAAGTGTTAGATACAGGTTAAATATCTTTTGTAGGTTTTGTATTAAAATACCTGACTGATTTTGTGTGAAAGGTCTGATACCAATTGTAACTAATTCAAATTTGTGAGCAATAAAGAAGCAATTGGCAGATACTGGAAAAATACTTTGTGAAAAGCTGTATTTATTATTGCAATTGCCAGGACTGTGACAAAATACCATTGGGATTGAGTGACTTTCCCAGTACACTATAACTTGTTTTAATGAACCAGTTACCTGTTAAAATTTTAAAAGGTACATAACTTCCTTGCAACAATTTTGACTGATGCATACTAGAAGTACAGCTGACAGTAAAGCTTGTGATGCCAAGCGTGTATATTTACTAGCATTTTACCTAGAAGTACAAAAATTGTTGCTGAGAAGCTTAGTTGCAAATCTAAGATTATTGGCTTTACTAATCCCCAGTCCTACGACAATTTTATCTAATTAGCCGGCTGAATATCCTGTAGGTGGTAAGACTGGAAGCATACCAGTCCCACAAATTTTACTGAAACTCACTTTACTGTGTAGATACGATAGATTTGCAGCATGAACTTGCACAAATAATGCACGTTTTTTTTTCTTATGGTTAAGTAAACATGATGCACACTATTCTGCAACAGAAAATCCTATTGTGCCTTACCTTTGTGCTTTTGTGGGCACCATGTTTATTATTGGAGAATTTGTTAACTGAAAAAAATTTTAAATCCTCAGTTTTATGTCTCAGATGCTAATGAATGAGTATATATAATATATAATCAGCCATGCAGAATTCTACTTACCAAGGACAAGTACATATTTTTGATGGGTAAGTAGATTGTGCCCGGTCTGGTAGATTTTGATGAGTTTTACTATATACATATATGTATATGTATAATATACATGTATATGTATTATATATATGTATATAAACTAATTTTGTTGTATTTGATGTGCATCATAGTGATTTGTTAACCTGACCTTAGTGACCCCATCTTGTGACCTGTTGCAAGAATGAATGTAAAAATAGTTGTGGCATTTGAAAAGGTCGCCTCGATGCAAATGCATCTATCTTGCTTCTAAAATATATTTCTTGTAAACACTGTACATTTTATTATTGTAATATGTACTATTATGCAGCTTATTTTACCTTAAACTGTTAAGTTGACCAATATCCCTTCCTGCAAGACAGATGGGAATGTGTATAATACCTGAACATTTGAGAAAAATCAGATGTTTGTTGTAATTTGTCACCTTGTCCTGTAAAAACAGAGAACCAAAACAGACTCGAATTAAAGGTTTATTAGGGGTTTTTAATTTGTCTCACCTTCTAGCTCTTTGGGTTTTATTTTCTGTCATTAACGTTTATACTCTGCTGTTTTAAAATTGTTTTAGCAACGCTTTGTACTGGAGGGTTGAGGGGTGGGAGGACCCAAGAGGGGGTAGAAGCCCATTATTCCCCTGCACTTTTCGCCCTTGCCTAGCAGGGGAGGCTTGCTCCGCTTCGCTGG